GAAGGACGACGAACAAGTCGAACCGATAAAAACATTACCGCCGTCGCCAAAATAGTTCAACAAGATCGAAAAGTGACGTCTCGGTTAATAGCAGACACACTTGGCATCCCGAAAACAGTGGCTCTGCGGATTTTAAGCGAAGATTTGCGAAAACGAAAACTGTGCGCCAGATTTGTCCCGCATGCCTTGACGCGAGAGCAAATGGACGAGCGAGTTGTCGCATGCCAACGTTACAACACCCCCCCCCCATACTCCAGATTTGTCTCCCACGGACTATTTCCTGTTCCCGAAGGTGACGTTGCAGCTAAAGGGTGCAAGATTTGACACAATTAAGGCGATTCAGAAAGCAGTGACCGACAAGCTACAAGTGATTCCAGCAGAAGACTTTTCCAATGCCACGAAGAAGTTGGCAACAAGTGCTAACCAGTGCAGTGCATCAAATGGATCCTATTTTGAGTAAATAAACCGAAAAAAAATATCCGCATTCTTTTTTAGTTCTTATTGCCTTAGTCCAGAAACTTTTGGACCGCACTGTGTAGGTCACGTCAAGTTATAAATTTCTTGTACAACTTCGTCAGTTGTCTTTAAATAGTTTAAGTGCAAGGTTGTCTTTACCACAAGTGCAAAAAGTGTTTATTGTCAAGCACTGTGTGGCATCTTGTTCATAATTAACTTGATGGAATAAGCTTTGGAATACATTTTCCAATTCACCTGTACCAAAATATTAATAATATTTCTTCCAGTGAATCAGAAAATCTTCAACAAGATGTATCAGACATGAGAAATATAGTGAATGCATGCATCAATTCCAACACTTGTTATACTTTTTTTTTGTTTTATGATTTTAATAAAATTTATTTTTTGACAAATAGAACATCTGTCAGGACTTTGGTTGCATGACTTTATGACCACTCTGTACCTTCATTACTTAGAAAATGTACTTGAATTTGACAATTTTATTTTAAGTAGTGTCGTAAAGGTGCCTCACCAGAAAGAAAGGCACAAAACACCTCTATTGAACACAATCCCTTTGTACAATAGCTATCAAGTCCATTCTCTGTGAAAACAAGTGTCTCACCTTTAGAACGTAACACACCAAATGGGTTTGGTGCATTTTTCCTTAGCTCAACACGAAAGTCTATTGGGATATCTTTTGCACCTGGTGGTTTGTAATTCTGAAAAAAAAAAAACATTATTAAATATTACAAGTATGTGAGATAGTAAAACATTCACAAAATAAGTAATGCATGACCTTTACATACTTCTGAAGGTCCAAAGCAAAATGTCAAAATGATGGCACAAACTGACTTAGAAGTGGGCACTACAGATCACTTTTGTGATCCAGTCCATTTAAACTGGATTATCATAGCAACTGGATCTGAAGGACCCATTATTCTGGATGCGACAGGACATGAAGAAAATTCTTCTTTTGAAGGTACCTGACCAAGCCTCTCTTGAAACATAAAATTCTGTGTTAAATAAAAATTAGTTCAAATATCTAGTCCAAATTATTAATATATTAAAAATTTAAATAAATAATGCTGTTTTCATATAAGAATAATTCTTTTATTCACCAGATTATTTCAGTTGCTTGTATTTTTCAGTCCATGCAGCTTTGAAATTGAAAATTAAGGAGATTGCACACAGGCTATATATTTATACTATAGTTTGATAGCACCGAAACGGTTGTTGACCAAAAATGGCTTTAATGATTTACAGAATCATACAAAACTTTATGGAGTACACTGGTTTATGTACATATATTGTGTTTTATTGAACAGATAGAGGAAAACCACTAAAATACTTTCAGGATAACTGACTAAGGCCAGGAATTGAATAAAACATTCTGGAAAACAAGAAATAAATATAGCACGAATCACACAAAATGTTCAAAGAAAACAAAATGGATATTTCTTTTTTCTCACTACACACATCACAAAAATTAACATAACCCAAAACAGGGTTATGTAACGTAAACTTACCCATGTTCTGTTTGTCAGGAGTTTTCCAGTATTTGGATCATATACAACATATTCTGTGAGCCAATATCCTAATCCCATCACAAAAGCACCTTCAACCTGACCAATATCAATTTCTGGACTCATACTCTTGCCCGCATCTTCAATAATGTCAACTCGAAGAATCTGAAAAAATGTTTGAACTGTTGTATTGGTGTTTACTTAAAAGTACAATTGTAGAATTTAAATTACATAGCATTAAATTACTCAAGATAAAATAAATTTTTAGGCTAACTAAATTCATGGAAGAGGGAAAAAACAAAACAAAAATTATATATTTAAATGGTATGAGAAAAGATGGTAATAATTATCAGTGGAGTCAGTTGTCTCATGGCACACCAGGATTTACATTACACTTACATCATTCAGCCATTGTTAATTTATTATATGATGGATCAACTAATGTGTATGATCACTGATAGATGGTAGCACAGTCTCTTTGACTGAAAAACACAACATACAGATAGATAAACAGAACATGCCCATTAGCATAAAGAACACTGAACAATCCACTGTGTATGTACATGGCTGACTGCTCAGGAAGACATCATTGCTTCCCTAAATTTGTCAGAGACATATAAGTAGACACTTTCGTGGTTTTGCTTTCCAAACTGGAACACCTTCTGGCATGCAATTAAAAATGGGCCAGAAATCATAAGTAAAAGTAAAGCTGTCCCATCATAAGTCATGGAGGGGCTTGGGGGGAGGGGAGGTATAACTCCTACTCACTCTTAACTTCGGAGCTAGAAGGGGGTGAGTGGTCGGTGTCATGCCCTGGCTGCGCTTTACACCCAGAAAAGGACCCCGGCACCCATTAGATAGGAGACTGGGTGGGCCCCAGAGCCAGTCTGAATGCATAGGTTAGAGGAAAAATCCTCTGCCCCCATGGGGGATCGAACCCCAGTCGTCCAGTCACTATACAGACTAGCTACCCCAGTTCCTGGCCAGAAATCACATACAAATATAAATACAAAGTTTTAGTTTTCTGATGAAATGTTGAGAAATTTAAATCGTAACTGAGACAAAGTTAAAACAGTACTAATTCCTTCTGTTCTACTGATAGTATACAAGAGGACAAATTAACAACACTGTAACAACTGCAAGGGTTATTTAGAATTGAATGATGTTCCAGGATTATCACATACAGTGAATTTTAAAGAAGTGGTCATCACTTACTTGGCATGTATGAAAAGAGAGTAAGAAAAATCACAAACAATGTCAGGAAAGTTGATGCTATAGCCAAGATTTAAACAACATGAACACTTCTGAATACAAATAAGAACTAGCAATGCTTGAACCACCTTGCCCAAAATGAATTAATCATTTTGCCTAGAAATTGATCTCCTGATCTCAAATATTGTACAGTGATAACACAACCTAATTATATTTTTATTTATACCGTAATTCAGGAAAGTCATTTGTGCTATAAGTAACCACAATAAACACAAATCAAGATAAAATTATGCCTTAGTATATAAACGTTGACCATGTACGGAAAACACATTTTAATGATTTACTACACAAATGCTTAGAACTGCAACACCACAACATTGAAACTGATACATGCCAGCCATGTTACAAATTCAAAGTTAGAACTCACCTGATGTCGGCCAGTTAATAAGTCAACCTCCACTTCACAAACTGTAACTCCAAAAATATCATACATTTTCACGTCATCATTGTATGGATACCTACAAACAAAACATATCATGTGTTGTAAAATATAGTAACAGTTCCTAGTTTGTTTTCATTTAATGTGGTCCAGACACTCAAGTTGTTAGTTTAATGTGGGCATTCAAGACAATCAGCAGGGCAGGGGCATTCATATTCATGTGTTCTGAGACTGGAAAATGATAAATTAGGGGCAGCATATTCTCATAAAACACTTCAAGATGTGGCACGGTGCTGAACCCATATCATATCTGTACTTTAATCTTTTTCATAGATGAATAACCAATTTAAACTAAAAATTTGAGTCCTGATTTTGATATCATATACCCTGACTTGAGTTTCTTTCAGTTATTCTTACGCATTTATGGTAAATGCTAAGATAGCATATTAAAATAGACCTCACTTACCTATCATTCCACCCAGTTCAGTTTCTATAATCATCATAGTGTACATATAATTTGTACACACATATAATATACACAACTAATGAACTGACATTAAATAAACCATTAAACCAACAACACATTCCAGTACAACTTGCTTTTAGATCCAGTTGACTTATATAATTGGATGGTTAATTTACAATTAGCCTCAATTTTGTTTTATTGCATACAAAACACAGAACCAATTATTCATCTTAATCAGTGGCAAATTTATAACAACAAAGAAGAGCACACACATGTGCGTGTGTGTGTACATTTGAAATTTAGCAGCATATTTTCATCACATCTTAAAACTGCAACTCGAAAGGTTTCGGGGCACTGACCAAACTGTGAACATCACTTATTTCATCATTTTTCTTATGTGGTTTAGAAAATATACTTTGGAATCATGCTTCTGTTAAAAATAGAAGAGTTTGCACATTTGAATGTAAATGTAAGGTAAAAAAATCCATGTTCCTTTTCAGTGTTTGTCACTCATTATTTAAAAGATCTTTTCCGAGAGTTTTAATTTGCAACAGTAGCTTTTTCATGATGAGGAACGCAGAAGTTTTACTAGAGCCTACTAGACAGGTGGGGCTAGAAGTAAATTTAGAAAAAGCTAAGTACATGTTAGTATCTTGTCATCAGAAGACAGGCGGGCAGAATTATCTTAGGGTGGCTAATAAATCCTTTGAAAGGGTTACAAAGTTCAAATATTTGGGAACAACAACAACAAATGAAAATGACACTCATGAGGAAGTTAGGAGGAGATTAAATTCTAGGAGAGAAGACGATGAGGCGTGGAGAAAACTGCATAATGATGAGCTTATATATAGCTGTACTTCTCCCCCAATATTGTCAGGGTGATTAAGTCCAGAAGAATGAGATGAGCGGGGCATTAGAACGCATGGATAGGACAAGAGGTGTGCACCAGGTATTCGTTGGGAAGCCTGAGGGGAAGAGACCACTGAGGAGATCTAGACATAGATGGGAAGATAATCTATGGGGGATAGGAGTTGAAGGAGACTGGATTTTGTTGTACCAGGACAGGATCTGGTGGAGGGCTTTGGTTAATTCGGCGATGAACCTTTGGGTTCGGTAAGCCATCTAGTTAGTTAGTTTGTTTAGCCTTTTCATGATACAGGCAAACAAAAGATAAATGTATTTGTTTTCTTCCATTGTTCTTTTCAAATTAAAACTTAGAATTGAAAATTACTTTGGACATTTTTCGGAGAAGCTGTGTTGAATATTCGCAATTGACAAATTATTACTATTTCAAAACATTTTAAATATAAACATTTTTTACATTTTCTCCTTGTGCTTTCCCTTTAGATGATGGGAAATGGAGCGGAACACCTGAATAATAGCCTCGTGATTCGAACAAATGTGAAATTTCAACTTTCATGCAAGCAATCAACTTATTAACAGCCTGATGAAGTGAGATCAATGTTATTCTGGATTTTGTTACCCTGTAAACTCACCAATGTTTCAATGAAACATACAAGCTCCATCTTAAAAGTGTTCTTTTAATACTGACTTCTATACATAAATTTTATGTATTAATGTTCGCTTTCTTCCTCACAGTATATATGGATGCAGGAACTGTTTGTTTCAACTTACATGTGTGTAGCACATAGGTCAATATTTTGTTGATATGCAGCCTGTACCCACTGTGGCCATGTTGGATCCTTGAGGCCTTTCTTTGCTGGCTCCATGCGTTTCAAGAGCTCCTTGCAGCACTGCACTGAAGCCTTAACAATTTATAAGATATAAACAAATTTCATACAGCGATTCAAATAATATTTAATTTTGTCACACAATCAAGCTGGTCATTGCACTGAACACAAAATCTTTATAAGTTTTAAGCTAAAGAAACAAAACATTGGACTTCTCTAAAATGTGTAACTTGGTTCCAGAGGGCAAAGTTTAAGGCTATACTTCATTGGTAGACATGCTGGCAGAAAGGGTAGAACAGTGGTCCCAACTTTTTAGTGCTTACAGACACATTTGAGAATTTCTGAGATCATGGTGGACACCAACCAATTAACAAAGCCAAATTTTCTTTTCTCTGGACAAATAAGATATGGACACAAAACAACATGACGTTTAATGATACAAGAAACCATGCAATCAAAAATACATAGTTTTATAAGTACAATTATTATTACTCAAGTGGGAAGTTAGTGTGATGTTTGACACTGCATTTCGGCCAGTTTTTTAAAATTGGGAGTGTAGGATGATGTTGCTGCTCACAAACAATCGTCAAGATGGGCATCAGTAAGTCGAGATCTGCGCTTTGATTTTATAATGTTCATGGTTGAACGGCCTTCATTATTCAGTATAACCTCTTTCCGTAACAACGCGGGCACCAAAAAAAAAAGCCTTGGCGCCGACAGGCACCGCATTGGGGACCACTGGGGTAGAAGACTGTCATTGTTGCAAATTCAAATAAGTGATTTCAAGTTTTAATGTATCTTTTTAAATGTGTATATTTTATTTGCATAAATACACATTTAAATTGTGCATTTGCATATTATTCAATCATAAATTTTCAAATTTGCATCTAGAACTCATACCAAAACAAATGAAAGTTGATACTGAAATACGTAGATTATGATATTCAGAAGAATGTGTGTGCAATTAGTATAATTACTGTTCACCTGTAAAGCATAAGAAATCCAGTAAGTTTTGCGAATGAACGAAATGCAGTTATCGGTATTACCATCTACATTATCACTATATTATTTGTACTGTGCAATGAAGAGGTAAGAAGTGTGACAGAAGTATTAATTTCTATTATTTTGATTTTGTTATTTCTCATTCTTTGGCATTGTGATTTAAAGGTTGTGTGTTTAAATCTGACTGTAGACAAACAGTTTCATTTAAAAGAACTCATACTTCGGAAGTGTTCTTGTTTCTTAAAGTATATGAATTATTTACATAAAATATGATTTAGTATGTTATCTTGAAGGAAGAATGTAGATTACAAGTGTTTGAAGAAAGGTACACAGAAAGATATTTGGACCTAGGAAGCGGGTAATTCAGAATATTACATAATGAGGAGCTGTGTGAATTGTACGAACCACCTAGCATAGTGAGAATCATGAAATGTAGGAGGCTCTGATGGACTGGAGATGTAGCACGCATGTGGAAGGCAAGGTGTACATACAGAATTTTGGTGGGAAACGGCCACTAGGCAGACAAAGAAGAAAATGGGAAGACATTAAGATGGATCTTAGGGAGGTATGCTGTGAGGATATTAAATGGATTAAGTTGGCTTAGGATCATGTCTGGTGGCGGGCTTTGGAGTTTTGGGTGTTGGAACTATGGGTGCTGCTACCAGAGATTGAGTTAGTTAGTTAGAATTATGTTACCCCTTGAAAAGGTGGTTTTAAAGATTTGCCATTAATAAGACTTCCAGAGTCTCTGGGCTTGATACAAAGATTTAATTCCTCTTAGCCTTGTCTTCCCATCTGATTTCTAAAAACCTAAAGATTAAAATATACAAAATAATTATTTTAGAGAAGTCGATGGGGTATGGAGAAAACTGTATAACGATCAGCTAAAAAATTTGTACTCTCCTAATATTTTCAGGTTGATTAAGTCGAGAAGAATGAGATGGGCGGGACATGTAGCAAGCTTGGATGGGACAAGATGTCTGCACCGGGTATTGGTTGGGAAGCCTGAGGGGAAGAGACCGCTGGGGAGACCTAGACATAGATGGGAGGATATCAATTGGGATCTATGGGAGATAGGAGTTGAAGGAGACTAGATTTTGCTGGCCCAGAACAGGGACCAGTGGAGGGCTTTTGTTAATTCGGTGAAGAACTTTAGGGTTACCTAAGCCATCTAGTTAAGTTAGTTATACATACGTATGTACAAAGTTCACTTGTAATGCTGGCACCAGTAGTTGCATTATTTGGTGCAGTCAGGTTGTTGCTGGGTTTTACACTCACAAGTTCGAGACTGATGCCCAAGGTGTATGCCACTGCTTGTGCAACCTGAAAGAATCATCAGCTATGTTGGTATTGCTTACACAAGTGAACTGAGGAAGCCAATGTCTGATTTCAAATGAGTTTTCATAATTAAGTTAATTGCTATTGGTATTCTCAATGCCTAAATTAGTTGGCTTTGTCGGTGGTATTTTAGGGCATGTCAGCATCTTGTTCTGAAATTTGTCAGATAAATAGATCTACTACAGCATAAGTGAACATTCTTATCACAGCTTGAAGGACCATTGTAATATTTATTTCTTATTTTCCCAGAAACATACAATTAAATAAAACAAACATGGCATACAATACTAATAATTCAACTGTGAAAACATTTTTACTCACTTACTTACTTACTCCATGGAGCCGAGTCCTTCCTGAGAACCCAACAGTCACTTAGCCACTCAAGCAACTTCCAGTATTTTATGGAACCCAAAGGTTTATTACCATCTTAACAAGAGCCTGTTACTGGTCCCTGTCCTGAGTCAGATGAATCCAGTCCATACCACCCCATCCTATTTCTCTAAGATACATTTTAATATTATCCTCCTACCCATGTCTAGGTCTTCCTAGAGGTCTCTTTCCTTCTGGTTTGTCCACCAAAATCCTGTACGCATTCCTCTTCTCTCCCATGCGGGCTACATGCCCTGCTCATTTCATCTTCCTTTACTTGATCTGTCCAATTATATTTGGTGATGAATACAACTCACAAAGCTCCTCATTATACAACTTTCTCCAGCCACCTAGTATTTTATCTCCTTTGAGTCAAAATATTCTCGAACACTCCCAGTCTATGTTCCTCCCTTAGTGTCAGAGACCATGTTTAGCACCCATGCAAAACTAAAGGCAAAATTATAGCTGTATAGCTGTGTATATTTTAAACTTCACATTGTTAAACAGCATATAAAAAGACAAAAGTTTTTTAACTTAATCTGCATTTAATTTCCTCATGAATAAATTAAATTTGTTGCTGTTGCTCCCAAATATCTTAACTATGCCACATTTTCAAATGATCCATTAGCTGTCTTTATGATACGATTTTGTTCTGAATTCTGGTAATCAAACTTCAACATATACTTAGTTTCCTCTGTGTTTACTTCTATACGCACTTCCTTATTAGTGTTAATAGGAGCTTCTGTTTTTTTTACGGTACGTATATTAACACCTAAAAGATTTATATCATCAGCATAGTCCAGGAGCTGTTGCATCTCATTCAATTTCAGTCCCAACTGGTTTTCTTGGGCCTTCCTAATGGCACATTCTAAAGCAATGGTGACAAAGCATCTCCTTGCTTTAGACCATTTTGAATAGGAAACATGTCAGACAAATGTTTACTTACATGAACTTTACTACAGCTTTCTTTCAAACACATATTAATAAGCCTAGCAAGTTTCATGAAACATGTTTACTCTAATAATATTAATTTGCCTTAATCATTACTTCATTGGTTGATGCTTATTGTTTCAAAGCATCAAATTATATAAACAATTGTAACCTAAAACATATTTTGCTTTTCAATGCCTTCCTTATCTGAACAAACAAACAATTTTCATTTTCCATTTTAGCTGTATGTTAGCAAAGAATGTCTGTACAAAACCTTAATATTAAATACTATTTTATGCAAAATTACTTAATATTACATTTTGTTCAGTTTTTATCCAGAATGACTAATAATTTGTACTGATGAGTAGACAGATCTGGTAAACTGGTGGTTTTGTAATTACATATTAATTTAAATAAATGTCTTTTCCCAGTGAATGAGAAATACCAGTGGTTTCTACGATACACTATAAAGAAATTGCACTGTAGAGACCTGAACTAAAATTCACCTCTGATATGCTCCAAAAGTAGTCATCAGTTGAACTCACCTTTGTATTAATTCCTTGTCCGCATTCAATTCCGCCATGTGCTACAGCTACTGTCCCATCAGCAGCATAAATGGACACAAGCGCAGAAAAATTTCCCGCATATGCTAGTGCATATTTCAATGGCACCAAAGCAATACCTCTCTTCATCCAACGGTTATTCTGTTACAAAAATAATAAATACTTCTCAAATTTTCTAACCTCTTTGATGCCCAGAAAAAGTTTATCTATTTTGTTGTGACTGGAAAACATGCAAATAATGATTACAACATTCTGACAAAATATTATAACCCATGTAATCTTACTTTAATTTTGTAACCACATTTTATACTGTTTTAAAAGAAAATGTTTTAGGGCTACCAGCAAAGAAGGAAATATACCAGTATGTAGCAGTTAAATTCACATAATGCATTTGGCCATGCCTGGGTATGCATCGCTGTTAAGCCCAGAGTTAAAGTGCAGCCAGCAGCCCCACAGTTTAGGGGTTTTAAATTTCCTACAATCATGTGATAAATTTAATAAATGAGAGTGAGGAACTGCAATTACTTTTATGAAATATATTATTAAATGTAGGATCTTTGCTTTTCAGTTTTTCTTCCACTGAACTCATAATTCAACTTATGTAAAGCATGAAAATTTGATATCTATAATCAAACAGAAAATTTCCCTTTTTGTTATTTTATTGCTAAAAGCGTCAGTTTTCTTTGTAACAGGTTTCCCTTCTAATGTGCCAAGTAACACATAATAAACACAATAATTTTATACCAACACAAAATATAAACACAACTGGAAGGGGTACTCTTTGGAGTACACTGACATTCCAAAGGTGTTCTTCACAGTACATGACACAAGTCATTGTTTCACTGATACAGTCCTTAGGTAACTCTTGCACCAATATTATCTGAGGCAACCACTGCACCTTAGATCATTCATGCACTTATATGGCTTCTTGGTCATTTTTGCACTAATATAATCAGATATTGTTGCACAGCAATTTGTTCCAGCAATAACATCTCATTACTGTGTAACAATGTGTTCCAACAATTGCAAAAGCTAAACTGTCTTCAGCTTTTTGAACAGTGGTATTTTCTGCATGCAGACTACGTATAATCAAAATGTTTATGTTTGGCAAACAATTGTTTACATATATCTTCATTCATATAATCAAATCTGCACTGGACAAACCAGTATTTGAAGACTGCTGACTGTACGCTTACAAACTACATTGATCTAGTTTCTAACTGAATATTCATATTTTACATATCTATAAAACCCTTTCCAAAATTCCACAGCCTTTATCATTCTTGATACAAAAATTTGTTCTTGCAATTTCATTACTCTGTTGGGCATTCTCACTAAACATGCATTAATATAATTCAATATCATCCTACCCAACAATGTCAGTTGCTTTTCCTGTGTGCCCCACTTTTATCTACTATCCAGAGTAATACTCAGGTATTTTATTTTTAACCTCTGTCTCTTCATGAGAAGGGCAGGGCATGTAGCACGCATGGATGGGGCAAAAGGTGTGCACCGGGTATTGGTCGGGAAGCCTGAGGGGAAGAGACCGCTGGGGAGACCTAGACGCTGGAGGATAATCTCAGGCGGGATCTATGGGAGATAGGAGTTGAAGGAGACTGGATTTTGTCTGGCCCAAGACAGGATCTGGTGCAGGGCTTTGGTTAATTCGGTGATGAACCTTCGGTTTCGGTAAGCCATTTAGTTAGTTAGTTAGTCTCTTCACCCAAAAGTTTTCATATGAACTAAGTATATTACTAACTGTTGATTACGAATGATGAACTGGAAAAACTTGGAATGTAGCTGTTATGGTAGATAGTTCTTGTGTGTGTGTGTGTGCGTCAACACTTCCCTTCCTCGCATCATAGTCTGCAGATACTTTTAGATCTTTCACCATCTGTAGTATGACAGTGTCATCACTGCTGACATTATTAAGTCTGACTTGTAGTGGATCCTTCTTAACAACCTTAGCTACGTGTTGCATAATGTGTTCAATAGTTGCAACTCCTTCAGTAGAACCTGTAATAAGTTATTAATTGTTTCATCTGTCAGTGACTACAACAGAATACATTTCTCCAAGTTTCCCACAGAGCATCCTAGAGTAGCTGGAATGCAACCCACATATGATATTAGATTTTAGGTTCTCACAGTGGCAAGTATGAAGATGAATGTCTTCTTGATTTTTGCACCTTGTGGCCAGGCATAAGTTTCCTTACATTTCAGAGACACAAAACCAGAAGAGACACCATCTTCACATATGATGTGACAAGTGCCACTGTTCCTCTGAATTGTGTCATGCTGTATTTGACAATTATTATTATTAAGTGTTCTGTCTTACGACAGGTCCATTGCTCTGCCCAAAAAGAGCTTTCCAGTTGTCCCTATTCTCGGCTTCTCGCTTTAATTCCTGGAACGTCATCTTCTTTCCTTGTTTAAGGTCGTCGGCACAAATTAATATTTTTTTTAAAATACATACTAAACTGTAATTATAGATATCAAAAGGAAAATTCTGACACCCAACAAATTTGGGGGTAATTGGAATCTTTCTTTCTCACATAAATCAAAGTTGAGAGAAATATAAACTGTTTCCAGATGCATATCAGTACTTTGTACTGATTTCAGAGTTCTAAATTGTACGTTTTACGCAACTGTTTTCTTAACAAAGAAGGAAAATCTAGCTGCTAAATAGCAGTAACAGTTTCAATGTGAATATGTACCATACTAAAAAGCTTTGTATTTTAGTTAACAACACTGTTAAAAAGGCATTACATTTCACCAAAATATCACTTGATGTTTAATTACAATTGCCATAAATTCCAACTTGCTTTGCACAAAGAAAAATTTATCATCACAGTTGCAGCTCCATGCGGAAAAATTTTACTGATTAAAAATATGTTAGAAACTTTGTTTTCTTTCTAATGTAATCCAGTTACATTTAAACCAGATTATGTTCACTTCACTGTCTACTGGTACTTTATAAAAACTCAGTTTGATACTTCTTTCTTTTGTTTGTTCATTGTCATCTATTTTATAAGCCACAATAAAATTGTGGAGTTATTGCTGTAAAGTTTAAACCAAAATGGAATAAACTCGATTGAATTTAATGAATATGCATTTATTCTTATAAGAAATAGTTTTATTTACGTAAAGTGAAGTTGGTCAGCTAACAGAATCATATGCAAACATATTCTGTGCTATTCAATTCTAAAGGGTTTTGATGACGGTAGTTTACACTTAAAATTATTCATTGTCAGGACTTTTTCCATCGTCTTTTCTTTAAAACCATGACATTTCGGAGGCTGGTTCTGTCTCCGTCTTCAGGTGAGAGGTACCTACTCTGTTGGGTCCCTTAGATAGAGTAGGTACCCCTCACCTGAAGAAGGAGACAGAACCAGCCTCCGAAACATCGTGGTTTTAAAGAACAGACAATGGAAAAAGTCTTGACAATGAATAATATTCTGTGCTGCTAATTTCTATTGATATTCTTTCAAACAGAATTGGGATAATAACATGGTGCATGTAATAGTGTAGATATGGATTTATTTTCCTTGCTTAGTGCACCTAAGAGCTTCTGTATTACGAACATAGTTACAGTTCTCATGGAACACCATTACTATTTATGTGTCTGTTCTTTATCCACATTTAAAACTAATGTAAAATTAAATTAATTTGGACTGGATTTTCAAATATACCTACAGTTCTTTATTGAGATAGAGTTCAGAATTCCATCGACTAAACAACCTTCCAAAGAATCCCTCTTCTAAATATTTCAGACATCTTTATCACAAATTACTCGCATATCACTGCAGCTACATGGTTTAAACATTGTACCTGGTCCTCTGCACCATGTGGTTGATGGAATGTCAGACCGAACACCTAGGCCTCTTACTTTCCATGCGCTGCTGTCATAACAACTTGTCATGAAAGAAACAGAATCAGGGACCATTATCTCATTCCATGATGATCCCGCATTTTCATAAAAGTCTGCTTTCAAATACTGCACCTTTCCACTATTGTCTGTTCCAACCTGCAACAGTTATAAACGTACATATAGGGTGAATCAAAAGTTTAGGGCCAAACTGAAGGAGCGTATAGAGCATTCACTTATGTGAAGTTTTACCAACTGTTGTTGATCATTCCTTTTATTGTTGCTTGCTGGCCCCACTTTGAATGTGTTAGTGGCTGGGTTCCCGGATAAATTCAGAGAAAATTCCATACATCTCTTTAAATTATTCGGGTGTAGCCAACTCATTACTCTCACTCAGAAAAGGCAGTACTTCATATTTCCAGAAAAATAATTCAGGCTCTGTTACAGTTAAGCAGTTAGCTAATCAATTGATCTATGATTGATCAACCAACCAGCCATCCATTATTACAATCCCAGGATCCAACACCACTTACAAACGAATCCTGGCATTGAACCCTGTCTTGAATAGACTATAATTTTTTCAACGGCCATTTTATAAAATGTTACCATTTCAAAATTTCATTTTCCACCTGCATTGTTTCTATGTTGAGAAATGTTCAGTCTATCAACACTAATTTAATAAGCCTAACAATAATAGGAGAAGAATCTAAGGGAAGAAGTTCCATATTATGTAATTTTGCTAACCTCTTAAATTCAAATACATTCACCAATACTATGGGTATAAATGATGATGTGTGAAACATAAAGTTAAGTAATCTACGATTGTAAATCTTACAAGTGTTTAAAGAATAATGAGAACTGGATTTTGCTATAAAATATATCTCTGCATACAACAAACTGCTTTGCATTGATTTATATATGCTAAAGTATAGTAAAAACTAATTTGTCAAACATATCACCCTTAAATAAACCAAATATTTACCTCATAGTTGACGGCTATGTCACACCGCTTCCCTAAAGCTTCCATGTTAGATTCTAAGCTCATAATGAGCCGCACTGGTCTGTTAAGAACTTGGGCAGCAAGAGCACATGCAACAGAAACTATTGAATTACGTGAAATCTTTGATCCATATCCTCCACCTATTCTTCTCACTTTGACATTAATACTGAAATAGATGAGAAGCTACACTTTATGCATTGCAGAAATCAAAAACACAGAAGCAGTAGCGTATAAAATGTTGACAAGCAGTGGGAAGAAATTTGTATTTCTGTGTGCAACTGAACACACAGAACCAATTTAATTAACTCTTTCACTGCCAATAAGTGGTAAACATCAGTCATGTATCATCCAATAATCCTATCATTTTATGCACATATAAATATAATTTAATGTGACTGCAAGTGTTTAAAATATACATTTAAATATTTTTATTTATTTATTTTTCTTTTTGAGCTGCAGAATCAAACAAAACTAATAATTACATCAATAATAATTATTGATATAATAGTTTCATCTTTATCATAGTGCACATTTTTATGTGCACCAGCGCAATTTAATTCATAACAATGATAGAGTTAAAAGTTCTGAAGAAAACCTGTGACGTGTACAATAAACATTTATTTGCTAGACAGTCATAAAATCCAGGAAATCATCAGATATACTGTCATAATCTTTAATCTATATGCTTAAAAATGTACAAATGCTGAAGAAAACACATCACAATACGAGCATAACTTGCGTGCTGGATTTCCTTTCTCCATACACAGAGTGATTCTTAATTTAATATATAATATAAGGATGCTCTACACATAAAATCAAGCTACAAAGTTCCTATAAACACACCGTCTAAGTGAAACTGTTGGTGAGAATGGGAAACATTAGGAAATCAAATAAGAGAAGTGATTATGCGTTTTAAGTTCATATGCTAATTTTATATCATCACATTAGTATCTTAATTTTTGAAGATATTTACAAAGTTGCTAAAAATGTTCTCCAATAGTTTTAATCTGTTAATTCATCCATATGATGCCAAGAATTCCTAGAAAGCTAAAAAATTCCAGGCATGTGACATATTGTTACTGCAACCATTTAAATTTCAAAGTTTGCCTCATGTGTTGACTCTTGTTGAGTAAACTATGCCCTTCAGATGGCCCCATAAGTAGAAGATGGCAGGTGTGAGAATGGGTGATCACAGGGGCCACAAAGTCAATGTTGTATCCCACTTATTAATCTAGGTAGCGAGAGTCAAAAAACTACTTTACTTCTGAGTCAAATAATTAGGAGCTCTGTTATGCGTATAATACATAAATATAAATTCATAATTGGCATTACTTTCATGTGATTTGGAATAACTGTTTTTGTTATGGATTCCTGCAATGTCCTTACCGTTATAAGTAAAGTAAACGGACGTGTATTTATAGACAAATAAATATGTCTTCAATAAATCTGGGAAATTTCCTTATTGGTTAATGTTTAATCTTGTATAATGCAGTATTTTAACATAAAATTTGTAACACTCACTGCCACTACACAAAACATACCTGTTTTCAGGTATAGATAGAGCTCTGGCTATGCCAACTTGTGTGAGATCCATCCACTGACTAGATGGGTAGACATCCATTCCATCTTCTGTGGGAACACAAACACACTGTTGTGTTTCCATTGTGAAATGGTATTGAGTTCCAATATCAAAACTTCCCTTAATCACATGAGCAACTTCATTTGGATCTGGAACTGTAAACAGTATCAATTTCAACTATGGTCCTATGGAAATCAGTCCCTCCATCTCATCTCATATATTTTACTACCAAAATGAGAATCAAATTTCTGATGGCAGAACTCATACACTAACCTCACCATCTTATAGCACAATCACATATTAGTTTTCAGGATTTAGTGCAGATAGTCATAAGTTCCAAATATTAATGTGTAAAAGGTGGTGCAGAAAAAACCTAAAGAGAACTTCAGAATTTTCATTTAATTTCTCTTGGTCAGTCTGGATGTAAGGTGAAGTCTAAATAACAGGCATATAAAAATCGTTAATCTAAAACTATATTTCACTCTAAGTAAGAAATATTTGTTGGACTGGGATAATTATTCATACAACATTCAAGGAAGAGGGAGATTTCAGGTTCACATGGTGGGAAGTATGAAGATGTTTGTCTTCTGAGAGGCTGTGACGTGTATACTGCTAGAAGTTTACTGATATTTTAGAAATGATTTCTGCTTCCACCATCAGGGAAATTGCCCTTATATATGGCAAAATTACCCCAGAAGATAGCCATCTTCTGGGAAAGAGGAATAAAATACTTTGTTTTAAATTTTCACAAATTTACCATCTTTCTTTACTGCATCTGGTTCTTTTTCAACCCTGATTCTGGTCTTATCACCTGACGCAATTATATCTCTCATTTCCAGATGTGGATGTACCACATTACTGTATTCCACTTTGACTTTTGAGACTGACTCTAATGCCAATGCTTGTGTCTCAGCCACTATCAAACCCAGTGGTTGGCCTGCATACTTTATTTCTCCACTGCAGAACACCTGAAAACATTCATTAATGGTTATTCTGACAGCTGCAAAATGTTTGCTATGATTTGTTAACTATTAAAGTAGTTCAACTATGCATCATATTTAATTAAACAAGTTGACATAGAAGTAAATATACATAAAAATTAATGTATAAACATAACACTAAAACAGAATCAACAACAAAGCCTTATTAAAACTACTGGTAACAAATAATTATAAAATGTATCTTGTAAAAACTTAAAAAAAATGAGGACTAAGGAAAATAATAAATTCTGGAAATATTAATACTTGTTACTAAAAGATCATAAACTAGTCATCACATCTACTTCCAAAATATTATTATACATAGTTTTAGTGGTGTTGAACCTTTGAATCCTGCTGCCAGAGCATTTGTTCATATAAGACAATATATTCTTGTTACTTGCTTGACTATTACTTAAATACATCTCATTCAGCAAATAACACAATTTCAAAATAATATTCATATTTTACCTCTTCATATTCTTCAAAGGAAGGCAGATCCACTGGCGTAAAATTGTTAAGTCCTGGGATGTCTTTAGCACACAAGAACTTTAAGACACCAGGAACTTTCTGAAATTGTAAAATATAATATAAATCTACTGATGCATTGTCAAAGGTGCCTTAGGAAATTTGAATAGGACTGGTGGCAACATGATTGGTAACATCTTTTAATAAGTGAGTATAGTTACTTTGAATAACTACAGGCAAGTAATCCTTACTATTTCCAACCCCAGGTTTGTCTAAACCAATCACAGTTGTGGCAGTGTAAAGTTGATACATGAGCAAAGGCAAACCATCATACTTTAGTCATATACAGTGATCTCTCTCAGCTTCATAATTGCTGCTATGAGAACCTCAAATGTCACAATCAATTCTTTAGTTTTATACATTTCTAACCATTACACATTTTAATTGTTTGAGGCCCATACACTTCAACATACAATATCATACACACACCTATATATTAGTTTCAACACTTTTATTTCAGTCTAATATTTTTGACTGTAATGACAAAATAAAAGATTTATAATTTTCTGAAATGTTAGATGAAGTTCAAAATTTCATTCTGATGCCAGACTGAAATATACAAAGTACAAACATCAGACATGCCTTTATGCCAGGACTACATTTTCTTGACTAAATAGTTGGTTGAAAGTACAAATGAGATAAGGTGGGTATTGCAATTCTCATATCCCTCATCACTATCAGTTTAGCTGTTGATAAATATTTTCTGAATATTTCTTCCTACACTGTTTCGAGCGACAACTCTCAAGGCACTTACACCCATGTATCATGTATCACTAACATACAAGCATATCTAGCATAAAATATCAAAGAGAAGTGTATAAAATGTATTATTTCATAACTTTATCATCATTTGAAATTCAGTGCATAAATTGCCCAATTACTATAATATTTGCTTACCAGAGCTTGTGAAGGATCAATGTCAGAGATATAGCCTTGACCCACACTTGTGAGAACAAAAGCAGCAAAGGTCTCATTAGGCAATGCTGGTAAATCATTTATATACTGTGCCTCTCCTACAACAAAATGGACATTATACATTTTGAAGAAACAAAATTCTTTTTTCACTTAGAATAATAATCTCTCTTACCAGAACACTGAGCAAGGGCCTCCAATTTAGGAACTGGTTTAGTTAGGGGCCATTCAGTCTTATCAGTGTCAAACTGCTGCTTCCCTGAAGACAAAGGTCGTACCAAATCTTGACCTCCACTTAAAAGGCGTGCTGGTAATCCAGGTGGGGAAAGGCTTAAAATAAACTGAAAGTAGTAAATTTTAATAAGAAAGTTAGAGGTTGTCATCTGGATGATTTTGCTTTTAAGTGCAATATGTCTGAAAAATATGTAATTAAACATCTTAAGAAATTATGATAATTTAAAATTATTCAAATATATGAAAACAAAGGCAGAGATCTGATGACATAACAGTTACTACAATTACTACATATGTCCCTAATTATAACCAGAAGCTACCTTCCAATAATTTATAATGAATATTCATATCATAAACCAATAAAGCTCTGTATTCTGGCACACTGTGGTTTTAGTAACACAACACAATAAATAATGAAGTAATCATTTCATACATATCATAGCATAAATATATTTCACAAATAAGTTGCCTTTTTATAGCTTTTGCTTGTTTTGATAACAGCTTATAAAATCTGGCTGTTCCTAACTCACCTTCTAAAGACATTCATTCATTCCATAGCCATAAACTATGTAGAAAATTTACATAACACCATTTTATGAGGTGAAATTTTGTTGTGTGCTTGTCATGTGTCTTTGATAAATTAGGGTGTTCCACAGGTGAAAATAGGATGCGGAGCAGTGAAAAAGACTGACCTCAAAGAATTAATACTGTTTCTCTATAACCACCTACGCTACCTTGTAAAACAGAGCAGAAGCTAGTCTCCTCCTGAATGTTGGGGAAGCATCAGGCAGCACTTGGTCTGGTTTTAGTTCTGCATCAAGTATCTTCATTGCTGTCTGCAACGTTTTAAAATCAAAAAGATTCTTACCATCTAAGAAATTCTCAGTATTTACAGCATGCACCTGAAAATAAAATGTTTGTATCCTGTCAATGCCATGCAATCCTCTCATGATGACAGAGATAGCATGAATACAAAGATTTCACTCATAAAATTAATCCATGTTTTGGCTTATATTTTACATCAGCGATTAACCAGATTTCAAAATTTTTTAACATGTCCTCAGTTCCTTAATTGAAGGTAAGTCACGTTATTTAGAAACATGCTCCAGTGGATTAATTTCTCATGCACTAACCTCAAACACCAACTCTAGAATGATGTTTTATTTGAAGATTTCTGTCTTCTGGGTTGTTGCACTGTGTAGTATGGTAGATGTTTACCAACGTTTCAGAGGTCATACTGCCTCCGTCATGAGGGCCCTGATGACGGAGGCAGTATGACCCCTGAAACGTTGGTAAACATCTACCAAACTACACAGTGCAACAACCCAGAAGACAGAAATCTTCATACTCACCGCTGTGAAAACCTCAAATCATACATGATGTTTTATTTATTTCTTAGCTCTTATACCTGAATTCACCAATCTGTGCAACAAATTTAAGATACTTACAAAGTAAGGGTTTATTCCACCATATACTATTATTGGTTTCTTCAGAACTTTGCCTTTAGCAGTTTTATTTAATTTGAATAGGAATCCTGCATTCACATACGCATGAGCATTTTGAGCCCTTGGCATAATCTGCAAGTGAAAACTATGTCATCAGTACAAGCAATGGACTCACTGACTTAAAGACAAAAGAATACTTGACCTGGTACACTGTGGTTGTAATGCCATCTAGTACTGTAAATGGTTACAAACTGACTTCTATCCTAAAGTGGTAGTAATACATTCCTCCAAAACATTCTGCTTCAAAACTGCATACAGAAGCCCATAATCTACAGTTAACAATATGGAAACCTTAGAACTCATTAACTAACAATGCATAGAATAAAAACTTTAACTTGTGCACATTTAAAGAATGTGTAACATTTGGAACTATAACAAAAATGTATGTTTAAAATTTTTGTGTTCCACCTTTTTCATTCTTCAACTTAAATAGTCTCTACCAATATGAAGAATGAATTTATAAATACCTTTTCAAACCTTGAGAAATACAGAGAGTTTAAATGAAACCCAAAATAGGGCTTGTCCATTGGCATAGCTATCTGGTCTCCCCTATCAAATATTAAATTACTTAGCAAATACTAGAACCTTCAGGAATGTCTGGCTTATATGCCAAACAAAGTCAGAGTATAAAGAAAGTTTGAGAACAGATAGCTGATCAAAAATTTTGGTTGCTCTGGGCAATTGATTCCGCCATGCAGAAGAGAGTAGACTATGAGAATTTGCAAGCAGCAAGACATACTGTGGAGCACACATTAATAACTGTTACAAAGAGTGCAATAGCAATGTATTATATCTGTATTTAGGCATATGATAAGACATTTTTATGACTGACTTCCATCTAATTTGGAATAAAGAGTTTTATTAGGAGAGGACATATAATCACTAATTTCTTTTATATTTTGGCTCCTTTCATGAACAAATTAATCATAAATCAGTGTTCAATTTTCACAATATCCATTACACTAATTCAGAAAGCTACAAAGAATGTGTTATCACTGAAAACACTGACTAACTAACAACACATTCACACGCACAGGCTACTTTGTTGCTTTCAGGTGGACATCTTAATGAACAGTCATAACAATGAACTTCTACGTATTTTGTTTCTCAATCTGACATTCTAGTATGCAGTTCAACATACCTTATAGGTCTTCAGACTGTAAGTGTCATCAATCTGGGGCAAAGTAATACTTTTGATCACTTTGTGCTTCATGTCCATGTCCAGGTAATCAATCATACTCACATTCCTGTATAGAAATCCTTTCGAAGCTGTAAATGATATAAAATTATCAAGTATTAACAGACAACTGTTTTCAGCAAAATATTCAAAAGAGTATAGAACAAGAGACTCTTAGGTCATTGTCTTGGTAATCGTAGTAGTAAATTACATTAGTGACAAGGTTGCGCCATTAAGAAAGTGTTTTAATAAATTACTTAGTAAATAATTTATTTCATTACTAATGATAACACTGTATAATTAATTACTCAGTGGAAGAGTTTAAACACTTGTCAAATTATAAAACTCAGTTAGACCTAAAACTAGGAAACTGTAATTTAAAAACATGGCGACCACTGATGAAGTAGTGCCCTGTTCAATAAGATAACACAACTAAAATACTAAAGGAAATCTCCACCTAAAACAATAAAACTATTTCATAAAACTTCAGGACTTGTAAATAAACACTTGCATAAATGTAACAGCATCATGAATGTTCTTCACATACATTAACAGCATAAAGATGTCCAGTTTAGTGGCTATTATATTTTTAATCTTTAGCATATTATGTAAGTATTATTATTATTATTTAGTGTTCTGTCTGACGACAGGTCCATATGAACAGGATCCTTCCATCCTTTTCTCGGACTGGGACCTTTTCATATACGTTCTTGGCACATGATCCAGAAGTGGTTTGCCATTGCCTTCTTCTGTGTGTGAATGGAGTAATTGTTGGGATGCCACGGAGGAAAACTCCGTGTTGCCTAGACCACGGCCTTGCCCAACACAAGTGATAAATTCGGGCACCGCCGGGGTTTTAATTACATCACTTAAAAAACCTCTTCCACGTTAAGTATAATTATAGTCATAACATAATCAGTATTACTTCTAGTATGAGCAACAACACAAGGAGAAACTGCAGTAATTGTGAAGGTACCATAAAAAGGAATCAAGACACATTACTACTGTTACACAGATTTTTTCTGCAACTGTCAAGTTCTTGATAATCACATCACTACATTCAAGCATGGAAGTAACAAGTATTACTACGGATGTTACGACATAAGTAATTTCAGTACGGTAAGATTGGCATTTGCAAATCCAATCACATTCTCCCTCCCAGCCACCAGGCATGTTAATTTCACCAGGTGCACAAGACGTTTTTCTGTTTGCATTATTATTATAGTTACAGTAGTAATTTTGATGGTCAGAACAGTAGTAAAACAGAAACAATGTTGAGTATACTACACAGCGTTTCTCAACCCATGGTACAGGTAACACTGGTGGTACGTGAGTCAATTTTGAGTGGTATGCAAGTAAGAAAATCAAAAGATAATGTTAACATAAATAAGTTTTCCCCGAACGCATTTGATTAGTGGTACATTTAATGTGTTAAATTAGAATTAGTGGTAAGCCAGCGAAAAAGGGTGAGAACCCCTGATCTAGTGTATACGTAACAGCGATCTGAGTAACGAGGTTTTTCTTGTAGTGCCACATTAAAAAATATTGAAACTTTTCCTCCTACTCCAAAAAACAATTCTGCAAATTCTCTTCCTATTTCTACTACTTCTCATAACACTTCCACTCCTCCTCCTAATACTCGCACCACCACCACCACTGCTACTGCCATTATTACTACAACTACAGTCTAAAAAATTAGTAATAGTTCCTTCTGTGTGACAAAATTAAAAAGCAACCTTAACTACCAGTTCTTCTTTCTTCCGCCAATATTGTTTAATAGACAAATTTCATGGAGACATGTCCAGCATTGTGAACTAAACAAACAACCCAAATGAATAACGATACATATTAGCCAACAAACCGGACACAGATCTACTGCATATGTATGCTATTAATAAATGTGTTACATATTTATTTTCTGAAAATATAAAATGGAAACTGGTTCTCGGCAAAGATATTTATTGCAGGTAAATTATTAGATAAAACAATATCTATTATTTTGTGGTCTTTGAAGTTTATTTCCATTTGGGATAAGCCAAGGAACTGGGGGAACTTAATTAATATTTAAACTAGAAAAACAGTCAAAATAATGCAACTGACAAAATAGTCACGTCTCCTCTGATGGAGTTCATTAATTTAATTGACAATACACAGGATAAAGTGATATGAAGTAACTCACCGATAGTTAAGGTGGCCCCAACTGTTACTAAAATCAGAAACAAATCAGATGGGAATTCTGGATGTTCATGCTTAATAGAGAGGTTTCCAGCAATTGTCCCAACCTGTGATAAATTTACAGATATAAACCATACAGTCACTATGTAAATAACACATCTCTCCCTTCTTCCTTTTAGAGTCCTTATTTAATTAATAAATATCAAGATGGTTCTGAAAGTTCTAAGTGTCTGCAGGAAAATAATCACATCTGAATTACTGAATGTCACAGTTAAGTGGTTGGCACTTGTATTAAAAATTTACCTATTTTCTTTAATTTTCTCACATCATCATCACATGTTACCCCAACTTCTATGCTGAAAATATGCTTGTGGTGATCTTAAGAATGTAATACTTGTTCACTTTATCAGTTCACCTTGTGTATACTGCACGTATTCTGAAACAGTTTCTATATTTTAAAATTGTTTTTCTCTTTTACAAGATTTCAGATAAAACTACATAAGAAATATTAACTGTGAATTGCACAAAGTTGAAAATATATTATTATTTTTATTGTACAATGAGTTCGCCGAAAAATGTAAATGCAACTGTAACTTTCGAGCTCCTGGCAGGAACAGCATAACTCGCCACTAAGTGCTACAAAATTTTACCAGTACAAGTCAAGTATCGCTAAATAAAAACAATAAAATCAGCTAACATATTTATAATATCTGTTAAAAATAATGTTCCTACACCATTTAAAAAGGTTAAAAATTCATTGCTCTGTTGCTCTGGCTCTTAAAAATTTCTAGATACTGGTACCTTGTTCAAGACATCCCAATAATTTCTGTGGTATATATTCTAACCTAACATGTACTTTGTCTGGTTTCTTCCCTCCAGTAAGCTAACAGTTTTTCTTAACAGGTTTCTTGTAGAGAAGCAACACAGTAGACATGACTTTATTAACAAGTTCAAGGATGCCTGTTGTGTTTAGAATTGTAATCCTGGAAAATTTACAGCAAAATTTTCTCCAACACTTTCTACTGGAACCACATTTTACACATGATTCATGTAGAAATATATACTGCTCAACAGTATACTGACCCATATCCACACAAAAGTAACCAGTATTTAATAGATACAGCTGCACTGTTAGGTGAATAACTTTAGTTCTGTTAGCACTTGGTGGTGAGTCATGCAGATCCTTCTAGGAGCCAGTTGCACTTTGATACGTCAATAAACTCACTGTATAATTTTAACAATGTTTCCTAAATAGAATGGCATCATGTGTGTGAATACTGCAGTTGTCATTCATAAACGTATTCATTCTAGGCTAGCAAAATTTAAAACAAATTCAATATTGATGAAAGACTCCCGGGTTACAAGCCGTGTCAGGTGGCTGAACAGTGAATAAACCATGTGTTCTACCAATGTTTCAAGAACAATCTCTGCTCTCATTCTCAGGGCTGCTTGGTAACCAGTCTGATACTTTGTTTAACAAGCAGCCCTGAGGATGAGAGCAGAGATTGTTTTTGAAACATTGGCAGAAGACATGGTTTATTCACCATTCAGTCACCTGACACGGCTTGTAACCCGGGAGTCTTTCATCAACTTCAGTCGCTCCGAAAGTTTCACTTTAAATTCAACATTATTTGGTTATTTATTACTAAAAGTGTCTTCTAAATAGTTGATGAAAGACTCTCGGGTAACGAGCCGCGTCAGGTGGCTGAATGGTGAATAAACCATTTCTTCCGTCTTCTAAATAATTTCCATGATAGTATTTGTAAACATAATTACTTGAACTATCTAAGAAGTTAATATTTCCTTATTTAGCTAATGTCAAATGATACAAACAAAGTAAATGACTTACATTTCGTACAGGGACATTGGCAATCAAGTCTATGTGGCGTGCCAGAATTTCTGTATATGCATAATTATATTTTGTCTTGGACACAGTATTAAAGAGGTTAATACAATCATTCAGACTCAAGTTTCCACCTAATGTCAGAGTTGAGTCTGTTGAATAACTCTTCAATTCAGCAACATCTTGCACATCAATGTAGATTTGCGGCTCTACAGTTAGTCTGTATACTCCTGCAATGCAAATTGCACATAATCAGAATCTAAATTTATAATAAGAAACACACATATCTACATTAAAACTTACAGTCACTAGTATCTAGTAAGAGAATATCAGAATGTTGTAACTATTCAGACACCCTTGTTTCCCTCTTACAGTAGAATGCATAACTATAGAAATAAGAGATTCGCGATAATTGACCTTGCTCTAACCGTGGATGTACATAATGTGATGCATGTATTGTCTCTTCAATTGTTTACATATTATGTAACATAAGTATTTAATTTGATTTTGTAAAACACTGTTAAGTAACTACATATGTTTTCATAGAAACGAAAAACATTAATACTGAAACATTACACAAGTTCATCCCAAGATAACTTTCACACCGAGACTGTAATAAAAAAGTAACGTTGTCATGACACGAAATACTTTAACTTCAATAAAAGGTAACAGACTATCAAGTAGGAAAAATATAAAACAAGATACAACCATAAACTGAAAGGTCTGTTACCATATACAGAATTAATTGTGCAAGAAAAGACAATTTAAATTCCCATACTACAGGGCTGCCAGTTGAACTCTAGATTCATAATTAACTGTTTAGCAGTATGTTACTCTAATGCATGTAATGATGGACTGTGTATAAGATGCGATGTCAGGACAATAAAGATTAAACAGCTTTCCTTGCTAAATTTACAAATTATGTATTCTTTAATTAATGTAAATTAATTATATAATGCAATTTTAGTTGTGTGTTCATGTACTGGACTCACATGAAGATGATTATGTGACAATATTTTTCAAGACAATTTTTCTTTTTCTTTCAAGCAACAACCATGTTATTGTTTCACATTTTATAAAGAATTACTACAACAAAATTTGTATATATTTTGAAGATGTTATCATACAAAATTTTAGAACCCTATATTGATTGGCGATAGTGCTGCTTTCAGCTCACAATTTCATTCATCTGCCATGTTCATGTTACCAATTGTAGGAAATTAAAAAGTACAATTTTGGGGTAAAGTCGAAGGGCATAACGCTCATACAAAATTTAATCAAAACTAATTCAGTACTTCTCAAGTTGAATCAGACAGACAGATAGATAGATAGACAGATGCAAGTGAGACCTATAAGCATCTATTTTGTGTACTTAAATGCATAAATGTTAAAGACATATCTGTCATATGTGATAATACTTACAGTGTCTATTATACCACACAAAACTTGTGACTTACCACGGGCTGTGTTCCCTCCAACAAGGACATATGGAACATTTCCAACTTTATCAAAAATTTCAAATATTTCCTTCGTATTTGTAACTTTAAACCACTGAGCATTTTTCAAGTTTAGATGAATACGGGAAAGCTTTGGTGACTGCTCAATTTCTGCCCCATGCACATTCACATGGACAAAATCTTCATTACTGTCATCCCCATCATCTTCACCATAATCATCATTACTATTCCAGGAACATGTCATGCCACTATTTGGACAACTCTTCATCTTATGTAGTTCCTTAAATAATAAATAAATAGTTCGTAAACAGTAAATATCTCTATTCAACTGATTCTGTAAGAGCTGCAAGCTGTAGAAATTTTATTATAGATTCTTTTTCATATTAAAATGCATAAAAAACATGCATACAAACAAAACTATTTATGCATTAAATAAAACTTTGTGCCAAATGCATTTTGATCTTAAGAGGTCATCACTAGTGGCAAAAACATTAATTCTTTAGTCTGTCTACAAACAAAACTGTTACAGATTAAATAACACTTTGTGCCTCTTGAGGTAGTAACACGTTTGGCACATATTATTTTATTTATTTTATTTAATGTGTAAACAGTTTTGTCTGTATGCATGATTTTTATATATCAATACACTGCACGGTATGCAAGGTTTTAAGATATTATAATGTGTTTTAATTATTAAGAGTGGTGATAAAATAAAGTAAATTTGATTCATTTACTTATTAGTGTACAATTATTAAAAGCAAACTGCTCTGCAACAGTTAAGAAATGTTCCACTTATAAAAATTCCAACATAATTTATTTTTGCTGAAACATTCATTTTTATTTTCGGCACACTTAGGAAACTATACTAATATTGCATGATCTGAAATGGCCCTGATTATTTGAGTATGATGTAACATTAAAGTACTAATTACTTTTATTGATATGATGTTACTATGTATGAACATGTAAATTAAACAAATTCTCTAATATTCTTACTTTATTACATTTTAAAATTTATAAATAATTAAAAAGTATAAGTTTCATTACCTGAAATGTTGATGGGTTAACCCTTTAACTCTAGAATTTTAACACACTTTGCACATGTCCCAACCCAGGCATTTAATCCCTTACTGGAATCGGTCAAAATCATGCTTCTGTGGCACAAAATTCGTGTCATTCACCCATATTGTACGTGGAATTACATTTTGTGGCAGTAACCAAAGTATTTTTTTTTTTTTTTTTTTTTTTTTTTTTTTTTTTTTTTTTTTTTTTTTTTTTTTTTTTTTTTTTTTTTTTTTTTTTTTTTTTTTTTTTTTTTTTTTTTTTTTTTTTTTTTTTTTTTTTTTTTTTTGTTAAATGGGGAGCAGCCTCATCGTTCTCTTCTTCCTCGTCCTCTCTTTCTGTTTCGTCACTTTCGTCATTACTTTCGACAACTTCGTCGATAGAAAAGTCTTCATCGCTGTCTTCATAAAAGTCTGACACATTATCCTTACCTACAACATCTAAAATCTCATCTTCAGTCATGCTGTGTTTACTACTTGAGAAACCCATTTTGAAAGACAGCTGTCAAGAAAAAACACGATCACACAAAAACATCGATGTCTCAAGTGTAGAGATCGATAGAATTGTAGAGATCGATAGAATTGTCTACTGTACGTAGAAAGTTGCAGATGCAGAAATGGATCAAGAAAAGTGTAATCAAAGTGCAAGCGTGTAGTGACAGATTGATGCATATCAAGTTGAATGCAGAACCAGTGGATATTCTGATAATGCAGGTGTACATGCCAACATCGGATCATGACGATGAAGAAGCGGAAATAATATATGAGAAGATAGAAGGAAGAGGGAAAGTGCAAACCATAAAAATGGGAGACTGGAACAGTGTCATGGGGAAAGGAGCAGAAAACAACATTGTCGGCCCTCATGGACTGGGAATAAGGAATAGGAGAGGGGACATGATGGTTGACTTCTGCCGAAGAAATGGACTGGTAATCACCAACACCTGGTTCAAGAAGCATCACAGGAGACAGGAGCAGATACCAGATAGACTATATCTTAGTGAAGCAACGATTTAGGAATAGCGTAAAGGATGTGAAAACAGTGCCATCAGCGGACATCGACTCTGTTAGTTGCAAACGTCAGCACCAGAGTGAAGAAAATCAGGAGTAGGGGGTGAGGAAGAAGAGATGGGACCTGGAGAGCGCGCGAGACGAAGTAAGAGCAGAATTGGAAGGAAAAT